GTGAAATTCAACCCACACTCTTCTTTGCCCAGCCCAGCAAGGTGGGGTTGCACCTGATGAGAGGAAATGGCCCTTGATGTAGTTTGTCAGAAAGCACTACAGGGGCTACACCAACTCCAGTATCCCCCACTCATTGGCCCAGATAGCCAGTTGCCCTTTATAAAAGGCCCCTTCACTGGGAAGGACAATGAAGGCTCCCCAGATCAGCCATCAAGCATCTAGAAAAGTGTGAATTTAGCTGGGTGCTGGTGGCTCACACCTGTAATCCTAGATACTCAGGAGGCTGAGATCTGAGGATTACTGGTAGACACCAGCCAGGGCAAGAGATTTTTATCTCCAATTATCTACTAGGGAATGGGTAGTGGCACTGTGGCTCACAGTGGCAGAGCAGTAATCATGAGCAAAAAAAGCTCTGGGACAGCACCCAGGTCCTGAGTTCCAGCTCCACAACTGCTGAAGTAGGGGCTGGGAATATGGCTTAGTCGTAGAGGGCTTGTCATGAAACCCTGGGTTCGATTCCTCAGTACCATGTAAACAGAAAATGCCAGAAGTGGCACTATGACTTAAGTGGTAGAGTGCTAGCCTTGAGCAAAATAAGTTCAGGGACAATGCCCAGGCCCTGAATTCAAGCCCCAGGATTGGCCAAAAAAAATAAAGTAGCTGGGTGCAGTTGGCTCACACCTGTAATCTAGCTATTCAGGAGGCTGAGATCTGAAGATCACAGTTCAAAGCCAGCCCAGACAGGAAAGTCCGTGAGACTCTTATCTCTAATAAAGCAACAGAAAATAGGAAGTGGTGCTGTGGCTCAAGTGGTAGAGCACTTGCCTTTAGCTGAAGAGCTCAGGAACAGCGCACCCAGAGTTCAACCCCCATGACTGCCCCCCACCCCCAGAAAAACAGGTGTGAATTTGTTCATCAAGACGCAATGCATGCCTAATTCTTGTCATGGGTGGAAAGGTCTGAACTTGAATCCATACGTAATCCACCTAGAAATGAGACCCTCACTCCCTATATGATCCTCAGATGTAAAATGGCTGTTGATAAGCCATTGTACATTCTAGTGTACACCTTGAGCCTTCATGATCTCAAGCTAAGGCCATTCAGCCTCATGTCCACAGTTGACACGGATGCTCACAAGAATGAAGTTAGTCGCCGGGCACTGGTGGCTCAGGCCTGTAATCCTAGCTACTCAGGAGGCTGAGATCTGAGGATCGCGGTTCAAAGCCAGCCCGGGCAGGAGAGACCGTGAGACTCCTATCTCCAATAAACCACCAGAAAACCGGAAGTGGCGCTGTAGCTCAAATGGTAGAGCGCTTGCCTTGAGCTGAAGAGCTGAGGGACAGCGCCCAGGCCCAGAGTTCAAGCCCCCCAACCGACAAAAAAAAAAAAAAAAGAATAAAGTTAGTAAACATTTGAATGCTGATTGTGGGTAGAATCTAGACACCAACAGTGACCACCACTGCTCTCAATGTCACCACCACACTACTGTCCTTCATTTCATGGGACTTAGATATGTGGAAAGCACTGGAAGTCCAACTACAAAGGAGTCCCTCGGCAGGCTGGCAGCTACCACAGGGGAGGAGCTGGGACCCAAAGTGCCCATGACCAACCTACTACTCTTTCCTTTACCCCATTCTACAGGAAGGTCCAGGAAGGAAAGGCAGTGACTTGACCAAAGTCAGACAGTTAACAGCTGAGCTGAGGCTTCAACCCATGTTCTCTGGGTCCCTCTCTACTACATTGCTTTCTCTAAGGCTTAGAATTAGTGGGAGGGGTAAGAGAAAATAGTTGGTTCTGTGACGAAGTGTTTCCTGATGTTTTATACCCAGAACCTACAGTTTCACCCCATCTTATCAGCATAGGTCTTGGGCCCCTATCTATCTCTCAAACTAGCATATTCTTAAGGACACTTGAGTTTGGGTGTTCCATTCACTCTATCACCTTCTCTGGCTCTGTTTCCAGTATTTACTTTCCTTTTTAAAAACCTCAGCATAAAAGAACAGGGACTGTTTTATCAGATCTTAGCTCCTTCCCTGCTCTGAGGTCTAATCAATCCAAGTCTGGGGATAAACAAACTAGAAACCAAAGCCAGAGTCCCTTTTGTGACAACAGACACCTTTAAAAAGATCTCCCTGTAGGTATGGCAGAGGGAGAAATGTAAATGAGTAATAAAGACCCCCAGCAGCAGTCCTAAGCAATGCTCCTCAGGAGCACTGAGTTACTCTCACAGAGAGTGAACACTTAAGTCAAAAACGCTGGGCTGGGAAGGTGGCTCAGCGGTAGAGTGCTTGCCTTGCATGTATGAGGCCCTGGGTTTGATTCCTCAGCATCACATAAGCAGAAAAAGCCAGAAGTGGTGCTGTGGCTCAAGTGGTAGAGTGCTAGTCTTGAGCTGAAGAGCTCAGGGACAGTGCCCAGGCCGAGTTCAGGCCTCATGACTGACAAAAAAAAAAAAAAAACCCTGCCCACATTTTTCATGTTGCATGGGAAGAGGTCAAAGTCAAGCCTTAGAGATAATAGGCTTCTGGGCTGGGAAGGTGGCTCAGTGGTAGAGCGCCTGCCTTGCATGCCTGAGGCCCTGGGTTCAATTCCTCAGCACCACATAAGCAAAAAGAAAAAAGCCAGAAGTGGCACTGTGGCTCAAGTGGTAGAGCGCTAGCCTTGAGCTGAAGAGCTGAGGGACAGCGCCCAGGCCCAGAGTTCAGGCCCCACGACCGGACCCAATAAAAAAAAAAAAAAAGATAATAGGCTTCAAAAACCTAATAGTGTATATAAACCAGTCCCTCAGCCAAGAACTGGTGGTTCACACCTATAATCTTAGCTACTCAGGAGACTGAGATCTGAGGATTGTGGTTCAAAGCCAGCCCAGGCAGAAAAGTCCATGAGACTCTTATCTCCAATTAATCACCAAATAGCCATAAGTGGAGCTGTGGCTCAAGCAGTAGAGTGCCAGCCTGAGCAAAAAAGCTAAGGGGCAGTGCCCAGTCCCTGAGCTAAAGCCCCAGTACCCTCAAACCAAATAAATACTAGCCCCTCCACTCTGAGGAGCTTACATCTTCAAAAGGGGAGGAGGGTTATGGAACTGTAGCCCCTCCTTTATAATACATCTTTATAATAATAAGAAAATTACAATTAAAAAGAAAACATGGAAGAAGAGGGCTGCTAAATGCCTACAGCAGATAAAAGCTAGCATGCCTCCAGCTACTTCCAGCATGCTGCAAGGAGATGCCACACTGATGAATCCAGATAGCAGCAACCAACACAGACCTCCTCCTCCTCCTATCTTTACACCCACCTGCAGAACTGAGTCCTCACACCTCCCACAACCACCACCACCACAGCAAATCATGGCCCCCAGCCTCTGCCAGCCTAAAGGCTGGCTCTACACAGGAGGAGAACCAAGTTTCTACTAGCCATGCTGTCCCTCCAGCAATGGCTCGTAACCTTAGGCTTTCAGACATGGGCCACATGCACCTCTTCAGTGGAGGATGGTAGTTCACCTTTAATCTCTCTGGGGACCCATTAGAAAATCTGATGGCAGCCCTGACTTCCTCTGAAAAGCAGTACACATGCAACTTCTATGTAATTTCAGTGGGAGTTATGGTCCTCCTTAGGAGTCCCAGAGTAGAAGCTGCAGGTGGTCCAGGTGACTATAAACAAGGGCCCCTCAACATAAAAGAGAGAAGTGATGCCTCTTGCTTAACTACTAATAAGTCTAGCCTTCAGTTAGCCTTTGAGATCTTGATAAGAACTACGGAATCATGTGCGCTCACATGTGCACATGCAACACACACACAGGACTCAGCTTCTGTATGGTTTCCTACCTTAACTTTACAAAATGTTCCATGATTGCTCGTTAAGACAGCATAGCTGGGTCAGAGCAGAGAGAAATGGAAGTGAGGTGTGCACTGGGAAGACTGGACAGTTCCAGCTTGTAGCTGGCTCTGAGCAGGTCTTGGCAGGGCAGGTCCTAACCTTTACCGCCTGTTCTCCCTAGAATCAAAATCAGGGCAGATATGCTGATCCCTCCAGCAAGCCAAACCATCAAGATTGAAGCAGCTCTTTCCTTCTGATGCTCCACGGGGCGAAGGGGGGGGGGGAGGAGGAGGAGGAGGAATCTTCCCTTGCTGTATAGGAGACCCTGGCCCATGGCTGGCCCACAGCCCCCTCGTGGCCCGGGGGTGTCACTGCAGCCCCTCTGCATTGCTGGGCACACATTTCACACAGGCCATTCTGACAGGGGTGGAGTAGAATGTGTAGGCACCAAGGAGTGACTTGCAACTGTCTTAAGCCACAGCAAGGCTTTGTTTGGTTTTGGTTTGTTAAACTGAGATTGAGTCTCAACGAGATTCTTCTAAATTCCTCTCTGGTACAATCCCTACAAGAAAGCAGTCCAAGACTTGCTTCATTAAGCCAATAACCCCGGTGCTTCTGTAACATTACCACTGCCTTATTGATCATTCCCTTCCTGCATCACAAGCAATTATATACAATTGTTCCAAAGCTCAATAGAAACAGTTAGCAGGGTCACACAACATCTCTGGTTTGTAGATTGCAAATGATTTGCAGGACACCAAATACCTCTCAAAGTCTTGGTTTCCGAGGTCCTACAGAGGTTTGAAGAAAGTCGAGACTTAAAAACACAGAGGACGAAAGAATTCTACAAATGCATGGGCATAGGATGCCCATTGGGAAATGTAAATTCTGCTCTCACTTAGCAGCTCCACCAGAGCCACTGGGCTGAAGACGCTACAGAAAACAGATCTGAATGTTGGGGACAGGTGGTCCAGGAGTTCAGCTGCTCTCCTTTGGGAGAAGTGGCAATGAATTGAACCCCTAGTAGGGAAGCATGAAGGGAGAGAGAAGGCAGAAAGTTTGGGGAGAGGGAGGGAGGTATGGAGTGTGTCTAGGAGCCCAGAGTGGCCCAGAAGCCAGGGGGAACTGGGGTCAAGACAATGCATGGCATCACAGGTCTCTCTTTTGGGGGACAGGGTGCTTACCTCCTTGATTTTCTCCCGCTGGGCTCGCACTCGGCTTTGGGGCTCCTTACTTTCGTCGGCCCCAGTCCCCAGGACCGGGTGGCGCAAGCGACTCCGGAAAAGATTGAAATCAAAGCTGAAGGGGACACTCTCCTCTCCAGGCCTAGGGTTCGCGATGCCGTTGCCCCGGGCAGCAGTGGCTTCCTCTCGGGGTCCGGTGGGGCGGGTGCGCCGCAGCCATCCCTTCCTGCGACGGGCACTGCCCCGGCTGCCCGGATCGTCCTCGCCTGGGGCAGGCACCGCGGGGGCCGGGTTGGGTGGAGGTTCTGGCTCATGGGCCGGGTGGTGGCCCGCAACTTCGGCCACCACTTCCAGGCCAGGCTGCTGGGTCCGGGAGGCCAGGAAGAGGCGCTTGAGGCGAGAGGAATGGGGCAGCAGGAAGAGGGCCCCGAAGCACAGGGTGATGAGCCCCGAGAGGAAGAGAAGGAAAAGGAACTTCTGCGGCAGCCGCAGCCCCCAGGACGAGGCCGGGACGAAGGCTGGCACTTTCCTCATGAGCATCGTGGCCTGCCACGGATTTGGGGACCGTCAGCCCCTCCTGGGATCCCCCCGAAGCCCTCGAGGTCCAGGCACGTGAGAGCAAGGGGCGCCGCCCGGAACAGGGGGGACCCCGGGCAGGACTGCCAGCCGGAGTTTTCTCCGCTCCAGGGGGGAAAAGAGGGGACTGTCCCGGAAGTTCTGGGAGTTTGGAGCCGGCGCTCCCGCGCTGGGGCGGGGGCGCCGCGACCTCGGCGGGGCCCGGGCGAGCCGGACG